TTGCGGGTGAACCGAACGTCGGAAGTGGGTACCGTCAAAGGGAATGTGGTAGCCCCCGACACGATCTCCTGATGGTGGAGTCAAATCTTTAAAAGCGAATTGCGGGTGCACGAGGAAAGTGGGAAGCGGTTAGTGAATGTAGTAGCCTTCGACAAGCTCTGTTATTGATGGTTGAATCGAAAGTGGCTAATAGAATACTGATCTGCCACACAAAAATGCGCTGAAGTCCCTTCGATCTCAAACGAGGACTTTGATAATTTTTATTTCTAGCGCCGTATGTGCAACGTATAAAGGCACTCAGCTGCGCGTCGTGCATTTAAACTCGTTGCGCGTGCACTTGTTTCTTAATATATTATTTCCATACCAGTATACATAACAGCCATACGAATTTATTCCAGCTATTACCAGAGCAATTATTATTGAACGTCAGTTAGGTCCCCAAATTAGGAAATAAATGAGTTTTCCTAAACGTGAATGTACAAGAAATTTCGATGTATGAGTTAACGCTGTGGGTGTAATAGTTTCTAACCGGCGCTAGTGATATTAAATATAAGCTTGTCAAATGTTCAGAACCCGATGATTGACTGATTCGTGACCTAAGGCAAGGGAGTCTGTAATGAGATTTTTTAGTAAACGTGTTTTAGGTAGGTGTATCGTGTGCAGTAGTAAGTGTAAAAATTAAATCCATTAATTACAAACTAAGAAATCAAGTTTCTATATAATAAAAACACGTTTTTTTTTAAAATCTGACAAGAGTTCCTGGCGGCTTAGTGCAACAAAACTGTTTTGGTCTACGTGATCTTTGTCAATAAATATTTGGGTAACAGTATTGAATGAAGGAGGGTAGCTTGGGGATCATCCTTCCTGGAGTAAATAAGTGCCCCCTTCTCATGTTTGGTATTACCAATAAACAAAACTATGGAAACATGTTTTTTCAACCTTTAAATTTAGGTAACAATTGTAGCAATAAGTATGGAACACGCTAATCAACATCCAAAATGAAATGTGATATAACAAATTCCTTATTATTTTAGGTTGGGACAGACCGTTTTCCAACTCAACTTGAGCCTACATCTGTTCAGGTAAGAGAAATTGTATCTATACCACGACATTGAATAAGGATTGTGCTTCAACAATTACTTTAATTTAATTTATTTGCAATAGGTACCGGTGCATTACGAAAAGTTATGTAACATAAAATCGGGCGATTTAAAGATTTTTAGATATTATACCAAGGTTTTGGAAGTTGATCGCTACAAATGCGCCGGCTTTTTTCTTTTAAACAACAAAAATATACCATGGCCTTTAGATAGCTAAATAAGTATAGATTATGTTATTAGCCATAAAAACGACATTCTTCCACTTTTACCCTTCAAAATATTAGTAGTTAACGATTTAATTTGTACGGATTAACGGTCGAATAGCCAAATAACGTTTCGATTTACAGAGCAGCTCATCATAAAAGGTAGTTAAAAGAACGATTATCTATTTTATGGTTTTTTGGATTATACCAAGTTTAAGGGCAATAGAAGATTTAAAGATACTTTAATAGTTTGTTTGATGATGGTATTTTGTAGAATCAAGTCTCTATTTGTAGCCTCCTAAGATCGCTTTTGCGTTTTCGTGACTATTTACCTTGTTTATAAATTGCCTTTTTAAAGATAATTAATATACGGAAATGTACGCACTTATATCCATTGCGATAAGCAAGTGCCTAGAAAGCGGGTATTCTTAAGTCAATAAGTATCGGGCAAGAGATCACAAGAGATTATGGAAATATGTTCTACCGTGGAAAACTAAGGCGATTTCGTAATGGGCTATTTCTTTTTAACTGAGAGAAATTTAATAAAAATGCTCTTACTGCTGACCCGAATGCTGGACTAACCAGATCGTAAATTCTCCAGCCAGTAGCGGTGGAAAGCAAAAATATTTGTCAAAATGGACCAAACTAGTAGATTTACAGCATATATAATTACTACAAATTCAGAATTGTCTCCAAAAGTATTAATTAGACCAATTTTCTAAACGGTATACGAAATTGCATGAAAAATTAATTAGGTGAAGCATTTACGCCCCCGTTTTATGTCGTCCCGTCTTATTTACTGCACAATTTTTAATAAAGTCTTATTAAATTCCATTCAAGTAAATTAATTAAGGAATGTCGATGTTACGCCTTAGATTTTAATAATGTATCATAGTCCTCTAAGAAAAACTATGCACACCAAATTCGTTTTTTTCACTGGAAAACTTACTTCGAAGGTACTACAAAAGGAGTTTTGGAACTATTTACATTATTAGTTTCCACTAAAACTTTTCCACTATACTAAATTGATTCGAAAAGTTTTCAGTTGCAGGGCTGACACAAATATTGATCTACGTGCCTTGCTCGAGATCCTATAGAATTTATGTTTGAAATAATGGTACCTAGATTTGATGAAACGATAGCAAAATCAATTATCAACGATAGTCTTTTTTAATGTACTTAATCAATTCTATTGTTTAATTATAACGTAAAACGAGACGTCTCGACACTTTCAGTTACGGCGCGGTTTTTCTATACGCTTTTTGCATCATTATGAACAAAAGTGGCGCTTCGCAATTTAATTACATAATTTCGACTTATCTAAATTCTGCATTCGACTTTTATGTTAATTAGTCGGCTATTTACGGACTTGACGTAAGTGTACGTATTTCCTGCGATTGACATCAGATTAGGACGACAAGAAGTCAAAAGCGGCGGCTACATTGTTTACCACACCATTCTGAAAGTATGATTAATGAGCTTTTTTGAATAGATAACATACGAAGCAGAACGGAATGGGTCAAATGTCGAGTAGTGCCGTTACGGTACGGATGAGTGCATATTTGTACATCCATCAAACGTGAATACTTCCCGGTTTACCCGCGGCAGTGCAATAAATGGGTGACAGTATTTACGTTGACGTGGGTCAAACGTTACTCCCTCACTAAAATGCCATTAACCAAAATGTCCACTTCTTGAAAACACAACTTCGTGCTTCATGCATATTTATGAAGTTGTCCAATCAGCAGATTGCTATTAAATAATAGTAATAAATATTAAAACTGATGATTGTAATTATGGCCGCGTAAAGGCCTTTAACCGATAGGCGGGTAAACACTTTTGATTTATGTTGTTTTAAAATTTTTAAGGCGCCATCTGTTTGGTTGCGTACTGCGGCTTCTTGTTTGGCACAGGGTGGTTTTACCATGTGTAACTGATCCTAGCTACATATTCGATTCGTTTCCATAGTAAATTCTAAATTTATCAAATTTTAGGCTGAATATTTCATTGACAAACAACAGTAGGTATGCAGTTGGGGCTTCTCAAGAGCGATCACTCATGCGGAAAATCTTAGGATCAAGATAAGATACTGTAGGTAGTAGGTCTCAATCCGTATTCTGCGTATTTGAAGTGCTCCTCCATTTAGTTTTGTATGCTGGGTTAGATTTATCACACATGATAGGGAGGAGAAAGGAGGTACCGTGGTAGCAAAAATGGTTCCTTCGATTTATTATGAATTTCTCTTTCCTCGTCCACCGCTTCACACTGAAATTTCTCTCATCAACTAGACCATAGAGTTCATTCTTTTTCTACTAAAAATTGGTGTGTCAAGAATTTTAGACTTAATACATAAGAAGTCCGCAAAGAGGAGTTTCACAGTCTGCTGAAATCGAAGCAGGTAAGTTGAGCAATATTCGATGGTACTAACTTATATTCAAGTTGTCTTCTAGTACAGCCTCAAACATGATATGGATCGAAGGCCCAAATTTCCTGGTACATTGCAGAAAAACCTCTTTAAAGGTTATGGAAAGCCTATAGCTTTCAAACAAAACCTTAACGAGCCTTATACAACCTTAATAATAATTCAGGCACACTCATCAAAGACACAAAAACACTCGCTACTTCCACTATAAAATAATTTCCTTCAGGATCTTCAAAAACACTGTCAATCACAATATTAGACGCCATAACGCCTGCTTTGAAGGGCCGCGCCAAACGTCCTCACTTACACCGAAATAACGCGCACAACAGACACAACTAAGAGATATTAAATGTGCCTCGCCGGACGGTAGGATTACCTACACCCAGTAGTGTAGACGTGGGCTAGAGTTGTTTTTGTTTTGGAACGAGTAAAAATGTTAGTGTTTGGTTCACCACGGCCATTATAAACTTATATAACTCGATTCCCAGTAAACACACACACTTTCCTCTTGGCCACTTAAGCTTGTCACAGCACAATAAACAAATATAAGAAAAGGCAATGAAATAACTGAAACAATGCCAAAGAAGTTCGAAAGCACAATACACAAATATCGGAACATGACTTCTGTTATAAGATGAATCCCAAAATTGACTTAAAGTTTCTGAGTTTGCGAGACTCATTGGCCTCGATCAACTTCCGAAGATTTCAAAAAAATTATTACACCACTTTTGATTCAAATAGAATAAATCTTGGGCACAAATGAAAAAAAATCTGGCATGACGACTATCTGGGTGGCACTTTGGATTCGAATAAATGCACAAATAATTGATTGTACAATTTTAATCGGTACACATAAAAAACTTCTATATGAAACCTTTTTGTATTCCAAAAATTAATGAAAGTAGGTGGGGAACAAAATATATTAAGAAACCCTGCACATATTTAATGAATTTTTCATCAAAGCCGATTTCTTGCAGTGTCTACAGATTCCCCAAATATCATTGGAGAATGAGAAAAATTATAAAATTCGAATGGCCTTTCATTTGTAGCTTCTAAACTGTGTGACCCTCGGTTTAATTCGGAAAAATGGTTTCTGTGAAAATATTAAGATATTTAGACTTCTAAAAGGATTTCAAAATACATTTCTTAAATGTACAAGATTTACAAAACCTCTAACATTGGTAAAGGAATTCTATAAAACCACAAGATAAAAAATTTGACGAAGATTCTTAAGACTTTTTAAAAAATAAACAATTTTTCTAATTTACTAGAAAATTCCGAAACACTGGAACTCATATGGCTGTTGTTTTTCGTTGATATTTACATCAAATGCATAATAATAATGAATTGAAAAAAGAACGCCTATTTTGGGAAATGTGTACTTCCTACGCTTTGTGACTCATATAGGTCCCTTCAACATAATATAAAAGTTTTTAAATTGGGAAAAGATGCCTTTGGGATAACTAGATTTTGAAATGTCTTAATTTTCTATTTTGATTCTATTTACGATATTATCGTACAATTTTTTTAAATTTATATAATGTAACTTTTAAGTTGACGTTCGAATTTTTCATAGGTAATTATTAAAATTTCGAGAGTGTATCGAAAAAATAAGAACAATTCAAAATTGAGTTTATCCTTCGTGCTGTAAACACAAAAACATTCAAGTCGTTTATGTGGGTAAGGGAGAACAAGGAAAGCTACCGAATAGGGCAAATGGAGATTTTTCCATTTTGGTATTAATTTACTTTCTCATGCTTGTATGCTGTTTAAATTTTTCCGAAAATGTTCCTCTTAATATTCGCAAGGTGCATCTACATATGGGTCACGTTGAGAATTGTTTGTCGGAACGCAAAACAGTTGACCTTTTCTCTAATATCTGTCCGTATTGGGGAGAAACAAAAATACGGATTTTACGTAGTAAATGGAGACAAAAGGGTAAATATTTTCAGAGACAATTTCTCATACGCGAATTTATCGGTACGTATTTACTAGGTTGAGAAATTTTATTGGAGCGAATGTTACGAGGAAAATTTCTCGGCCCGAAGACATCGAGAAAGTCGTAGTGGAGATTTTTTTTGGCAGATTATTAAGAATGTTGTGGCAACGTTGTTTTGTTGTATTTGTGGCAAATCCTTGCAGCTTCACAGCTTTAAACTAACAACAACATGTAACACTTATAATATTTCATATGAGTAATCAAATAATCATTAAATGGCAAACAAGCTTTTATTAATCGCGAAGTGGGTGTGATGGTACGAAAAGATGTAGAACAAACCTACAAATGCCCATATTACGCACATAGAAACCCAAATATTACACCCACCATGGTAATCACCTCTTCGTGTAAATGTCAA